AAAAAGATTTTACTTAATTGCAAAAGGAATTACAAAAGATAGTTTGCCTAAAAGACGCAAACATAAAATGCATGATTGATGTGCTGACAGCAGAAAAAAAAAACGTTAAAATAGGAAAGAAAAGTAAGAAAAAACCAAGGAAACTTTCAACCTTTCTCAAGCAAAGTTTTCCCTGCAACCACCTTGGGGAACTGGGAAAACCCAGTCGCAGCTGCCGAGGAAAACTCTGCGCTCCTCATATGCAAATCAGTTTAACCGTCAGTTCATCATTCTTGCCCTGCGAATCCTGCAATTTGAGTAAGCGAGTGACATAATTCCCGACAGCGTGACCAACTTTGATTGATCTGCAGATCGGCGAAAGCGAAAGCAACTTCCAAATGCGACAGGCATGGCGAATCGGAAAACTGGTACAAGGATCACTTTCTCCTTTGTCCTTGGCTGGATCTGCCCGAAAAAGTGTCAGAAATTCAGAAATCACTGCGATTGATCACTTGAGTCCTTAACGTGATGTAGAGCGTGGCTTTTGCATAATTTAGTTAGGGTTTACAAGAGTCTTACAAGGGGATTTATGGGAAAGTGCCTAAGATATGGGAAAGTTGTCAGATATGACAGATCTCTAGTTGCTGCAAAAGAATTTAGTGTCAGGAAATTATAAAAATAAAAAAATAAATGAAAGAAAAACCCGTTCAAAATCTTACAAATTTAAATGATTATTTTACTGAACCAAAAAACTATAAGATTTTTACCTACCGTAGAGGTAAAGGAATGTTAAAGAATGTGGTCGCTGCAACCCACACACTGAATAAAAATTAAATAGATAAAGCGTGTCCCATATTTAGAATGTTAATATTATAGATCCTTAAAATCAATAAGCCAAGTAGGCCATATACCCCATTATTAGGCAAAGACCTTTCACCTAAATCCCCCAACCGCTTTCTCCTTCGTTAGCCAGCACATTGACCCAGAAAAGCCGATCATTAGTCAATGGTCCCATATTTGAACTCTGACCACAGAGTAATGTTAAGTGGACAAAATGCCAGCAGAAAATGCGGAAAAATCACGTCGATTTCTCAGGGAAAACCGCAAGTTGAGACAACCCCTAGAAAGTAGAAAGCGGCATCGGCATCTGAGAACGAAATAGGGAAAGGTGAAAACTCGATACCTAGGCGAATCCCTGCGCTAAGGTCTATAGAAATACCCGGGGGAAGTATTTCGCAAGTCGCTTACCCAAAAATGGCATAAACAATCTCATTGTGCGCACTCGAACCAAATGATGTGTGAGATATCAATTGTCAATCCGACAATGGAAAGTGACAGATCGGTATCTGTAACGTTCGTAATAAAATTAGAAGTTTATTGATTTGTCCTGACACTTTGGCAGAGGAACGGCGAAACGGAGTCTGGGATGCGAAAGGAAACTCACGAATCTGGGACAGATTGATGTCTGCTCTCGCATTATCAATGGGAGTGTCCTTTCTCCACTCCCCTCGTCCTTTTACCCCTTGCTGAGGCTCCTGCTCCTGATGTCCTATAAAAATTATAAGCAATTATATAGAAAGAATTTCCGTTGGCTGGTCGTAAAGTATGCGACTTTATGAGCCCAGTAAATATTTTGATTGCCGAAAATTCGCTAAAAAAAATTAATTTCCGTATCTATTTTTCGCTGACTTTGCACCATTTTTATACCCGTTACTCGTAGAGTAAAAGGGTATACTAGATTCGTGCAAAAGTATGTAACAGCTAGAAGGAAGCGTTTCCGACCCCATAAAGTATATATATTCTTGATCAGGGTCACTAGCCGAGTCGATCTAGCCATGTCCGTCTGTCCGTCTGTCCGTCTGTCTGTCTGTCTGTCTGTCTGTCTGTCCGTCTGTATGAACGCTGAGATCTCAGAAACTACAAAAGCTAGAAGGTTGAGATTTCCCACACATATTCTTTGGCTTCCTACGCAGCGCAAGTTTATTTTAGCCGAGCGCCACGCCCCTCTAACGCCCACAATCGCCCACTAACGATTTTAAAATGGGTCCTGCGCCCACATCTTTAAAGATTTCCGAGAAGTATAAATGCAATTTGTTGTGTATATTTATACCTATCGGAATGTAGAAGACATTTTTCAAATCGGACCATTCATTAAAAAGTTATACGCAATCAAAAATTATATATCTATCTCCCTCGCACTCCCTTTAGCTGAGTTACGATTATTAGTCGGGACACCAACCCGACACAGCGTGCGCACTCCCTTTAGCTGAGTGACGGGTATTAGATAGTCGGGACAACAACCCGACTATAGCGTTCCCTCTTGTTTGATGTTTGGAGTCTGACTCGACTGACAAATGAATCCAAACTTCCTGTTGACCACGCCCAAATGCTGTTGATGACCCTCACTTTCAGATTTGAACGAGACCATTAATGACATGAATTGCAGTTCCTTTAAAACTCTTTAGTGTTTGTACTAATTATTATTAATGTGTTTTCAAACCAAAATCAAAAAGGGAAAACGCTGAATGATTTGTGTGTTTGTGGGCTCGTTGAAAAAAAATGCGGGACAGTAGGTTATGGGAACAAACCATTTGAGATTGCAATCTCTAGAGATAAAATGACAATTTAGTTTTCGTTTTTTGAAAAAATGTAATGAAATATGTCTATTATTTTATTTTAATAAATATTACACTTAAAAGACTTTATTTAATTTGTTAAGTAGTATTATATATTATAGAAATATTTATTACATATGTTAAGTTTCTTTAACCTCTCCAAAAGTTGCAGATGCCAATTGAATGAGCTATTCAGCTCACATATTTCTTGTTTTTTTCTTCTCAACTTTTTTGTGTATAAATCTAATTAGCATGTGCTTCGACAATGACTTCAAGCAACTACCACATCACACAATGTCAAGTCAAGCTCTTGAGGAAATCCGTTTAATTTCCCTTAAACCCCAAAAGGCAGCGACAAATTTGGTTGCCCGAGCAGAATTACACAGAAAAGAATTTTGAGTAATAATACTTTAGCACACTGTCGATTTGATCAATACTTTTCATTTTCATAAGGAGGAAAAAAACTATTTGAAGGGTCCATTTACAGTACACTCACAATAAAATTGCTTTGAAAATGTTTAGAAAATAATTGAATTGTAAAACAACATTAACCCAAAATATTTATCTATAAAATTGATGTTCGTATTTCTTATTTTATGAGTTTCTTTGTACTCGTTTTTATCGAAGTGTACTGCCTTCTGAGCTGGTTTGGAAGTACTCTCCTTCCGACTTTGTGTGAAAGTGAAATCGACTCAATTGCGGGCGTGTTCTGTTAGTCTTGCGGTTGCCAGCGACTCCTGCTCCTGGTTTTTTGGTCCTGTGCCCGCACAATTGGTCCAGGTACAAAGTCAGAGATTGCCAAAAGGTGTTGGTAGATGCTTCTTATCCACGGCATTGTGTTAGCCTGCTTGTGTATGCACAGGTGTCATCCTACAGGTGAAATGGATCCTCTCGAGGGCAGAGAACTCGTGCCTGGGCGTCTCCTTTGTTCGGCCGCATAATGAAAGCAAAACGTTCTGAAATATGAATTGAATCTCCTCGAGTGCATTTAATATACATTACGCCCTCGTCCTTTTCCTCCGTTTGCACCTTGCTAATATCCTGGCGCTCCTTAGCCGACAAAGTTGCCAGTAGTTTGCCATCTTCCGCTGTTTGCCGAAAAACTCCCAGGCATGGGGGCCATACAATATCCGCTGAAACGTTTAAGTGAGATTAACAAGTGATGACTGATACCGACTTTGGCACAATCAGGATTCCACCCAGGACCTCGGGGTTGTGTGCTTTCTATTAAATTAAAAGTGGCAAAGGAAAAGCGGAGGAGGAGCTGCTTGCCTCTGGCATAACGTGCAAGCTTTATTGGGAAACACGATTTTCGGCTTAGGAAGCTGTCTTTTCTGCCCTGTCAATAAAACCTTCTTAATCGAGTGTCGAAGGCCCCATAAAATGATAAGAACCTGTTTCTGAAACATATCTATAGTTCAGATTAATAAAATTCCCTGATAACATAAATATTTTAAAACATTTAAAACATGTTCAGATTAGGGTTGTTAAAAAATCGATAGTGGCCACCATCGATGTTTTTGGCTATCGATGGTGGTCACTATCGATACTATCGATAGTATCAACAATTAAAGAAAATAAAAAACAAATTGTTAAAATAAAGAAAAATTATGAAAAACAAATTATGGAAAATGTGTGGTTGACTCATAAGAATTAGGGGGAAAGAAACGGTCTAACTTTTACAGCGATTAAAGTTAAACAAAATTCGATGTTGAGCCTTAACAATTAAAATACCGTCGTGTTCTTAAGTATATTCTTTAAAATACTGTTTTTTCGTTAAAATATACCAAAAGTTGCATGTAAAATTTAATTATTTTTTTGGAGCGATAGTATCGATTGTGGGTTCAAACCATCGATGTTTCCTAAATTTTAAAACCATCGATAGTATCGATAGTGCTATCGATTTTTTTAACAACCCTAGTTCAGATGAAGTTCTCTAATGTATTACCCAATTATAAAAAAATAATAATTGCAAAGAACAAATTAGGGAAATAAAATACTTCGTTTGGGCGAACGCTATTTGTGAAATATAGTATATTTCGATAAAAATATTTTAGTTTGTTTGCTGTATATTAAATGCTAACCCTTGATAACTCCCTAACAAACCGGCTGATGATATTAAAGAAATATATATGTTAAATACTCCTATGTATGTTATATTTTCATCTTGACAATATACCTTGCTTATTTTCTGATGAGCATTTTTTATTATCAGTCATTTGAGTCATACATAAATGTATTTGTTCTTGTAACAGTGATTCCACAGGGCGATAAGCATTTGCTATTAGCAGCAAAGTGCACTTCAAAGGCTTTTAGTCTCTTTCCATCTGAGCTGGGATTATGAACAGTTTTTTTGAAATCTTCACTCTGGCTTGGGCTTTTATCAGCCTAATACCTTTATATGAATTCAAACCACAAGATTGGTCACCAGAAGAGCGCAGAGTTTATGAGCAATTGCGACAACAGGATTGCGGGGTCCTCTCGAATCTTATTCCCGCCCAAAGACTTCGCCGAAGGATCACCGGTGGCAGAAAGTCTTCCCTACTGTCCCAACCTTGGATGGCATTTCTCTATATGCCAAGCGATTTGGAGATGTGTCGCTGTGGAGGCGCCCTTATCTCAGAAAGTATTTGAAATGCTAAGAGGTGTTTGTTAATTACAATTATTTTCTCTGTTTAATTCAGGCTTTGTTCTAACTGCCGCTCATTGCATTAAATTGTGTCCACGGTCCACAGAGTAAGTAAGATTGCCATATCTCAAAAACAAACCTGATCCCGATTCTTGAGCAGATTAAGAGTGCGACTGGGAGAACTCGACTTAACTTCCCCACTCGATTGCACCACCTACAATTATCAAAGTGTTTGTGCGCCACCCGTGGAGGAATTTATTATAGAAAAGTCGATTGTTCACGAGGAATTCAACCCCTTCTCCCCTTGGTTTGATGTTGCCCTGCTGCGACTAAACAGGAAAGTGGTCTTCAAAGGTAAGAACTAAATTAATGTTTTATTTTTGTTATTCTACTTACTTTAATAAATAAATTGTTATTTTTTTTAGATCACATCCGACCCATTTGTCTGCCTCTAACCGACGAACTCCTGGCTTTTACCTCGGTTATGGGGCAATCCTACTTGGCGGTGGGCTGGGGAAAAACGGCGGATCGGCGTTTTGCCAACAGTACAATGGAGGTCTATATAAACTCTGAGAGATGTTCAGGCGGCAGAGACAGTTCGTTCCTGTGCGCCAGCGGAGATTATGTGGACACCTGTACCGGGGACTCTGGTGGTCCCCTCACCTGGTCGACTCTTTATTTTGGCAAGGTCCGAACGGTACAATTTGGAGTTGTCAGCCTTGGGAGTGCAGACTGTGGAATTGGTCAGAAGGCCTACTACATGGACGTTCCTACGTTCATGCCTTGGATAATCGGCAAGCTAGCATTGTTACCGGACTTGTAAGTGGACCTTAAAGGGTTTACAAAAGTTATCTAACACGAAGAATACTTTTTGCACTTTTGAAGTGTTTAAAAAAATATTACAATTTTACTCTCCGCACTCAAAACAAATGTCCTAGGCTTAAAGAGATTTGGTCTATATTCTTTAAAATGTTTAATTTAAGAACATACAAATTAAGGAATTAGAAGTCTGAAAAATATACCCATTAACTAAAATTCGACTCATACCTAGAAAATTATTTTTGTTTGGTTTATTTAAAGTTAAAATTTTAAACCTTTAAATTACTTGGGGCAAAAAATAAATAAAAAAAAAAAAATTTTTAATTTTTTTTTATTTTTAATTAATTATTTAAAAATTTTTTTTTTATTTTAATAATTATAAATATAAAAAAAAAATTTTTTTTTTATTTTTTTTATTTATTAAGGGGGGGGGGTTAAATTTTTTTTTTTTGTTGGTGGGGGGTGGGGGGGGGGGGGGGGGGGGGGGGGGGAAAAAAAATTTGGGGGGGGGAGGGAGGGGGAGGATGTGGAAACCCCAACCAAAAAAACCCCCCCCTCTTTTTTTTTTTTTTTGAGTCTAGCGTTCAAAAAAAGACGAAGAAGACGGAAGACGGACAGACGAAACACAGCTAGATCCTGATCATAAATATATATCGTTTATAGGGCCGGAAATGCTTCCTTCTACCTTTTAAAACTTTTCCAAATCCTTTTCTCTAGGTTAAAAATTACATAAATTATTCGTTGCCATGCTTTTAATTACATGCCAGGCTTTACCCTAAAACTTTCGTCATGGGTCCTGCTTAATCACAACTTTCTAGCTTTTATGATTCATAATTATGAATCAATGAATCTAATTCCCATTCATTGCGGTTAAATGTGGCTTGTTCTGTTCATTAGGAACTAAGCTGTGATCTATTGACTTTACAATGAAACACAAACTGTCTAACTTGGGAGCATAAAACTCAAGATGACAAAAAAGTGTAAAATTTAACATTTAAACGTAAAACAAGAGAAAACGATGTAGTCGAGTACCTCGACTATTAGATACCAGTTACTCAGATAACGAACTTTTAAAAATAAAATTATAAAACAAATAACATTTTCGGCGCTTCCCTGGCAGTAGTGGCAATTTCTTTGTAAGTCAGAAAATAGGTATTGGCACAACTTAAATACATTTCAGTTAAAATTTTTATTTTAGCACCAAAATTGTGGGAGAGTGATAAAAGGGTCCAACACTAAAAGAATTTGCATTCAATCGCTTGGGAGCCTTTTTGTTGTAAACTAGTGTAATTTATTCTGAACCAAAACATATACTTACACTTTGAAAATATACCTTAGTTTTTCCCAGTTTCTGATGAAAGTTTATTATTATCAGTCATTTGAGTCACACGTAAACTTAGTTGCTCTTCTAGGAAATTTCGCAGGCTGATAAGCCTTTGTTTTTAGCAGCAATTGCACTTCAATGGCTTTCAGTCTCTTTCGATCTGAGCTTGGATCATGAACAGTTTTATTGAGATCTTTACTCTGGTTTGGGCTTTCATCAGCCTAATACCTTCATATGAATTGAAACCACAGGATTGGACACCAGAAGAGCGCAGGGTTTACGAGCATTTCCGGCAACAGGATTGCGGAGTCCGAAAAATTCTTTTGAGGATCACTGGTGGCAGGAAGTCCTTCCCAATGTCTCAGCCTTGGATGGCATTTCTCTATATTCCGAGCGATTTGGAGATGTGTCGCTGTGGAGGCGCCCTTATCTCAGAAAGTATTTATAATGCCAAAAGGAATCGTGTACTTTAAATATAAATATTTTCATTGTTTAATTTAGGATATGTTCTAACTGCCGCCCATTGCATTAAATTGTGTCCACGGTCCACAGAGTAAGTAAGATTAAAATAGTTATCAGCAGAACTGATCCCAATTCCTAAGCAGATTAAAAATACGACTGGGTGAACACGACTTAGCTTCTCCATTGGACTGCGCCACCTACAATAATGAAAGCGCTTGTGCCCCACCTGTGGAAGAATTTACTATAGAAAAGTCGATAATTCACGAGGAATTTAATCCCTTCTCACCTTGGTTCGATGTTGCCCTGCTGCGACTAAACAGGAATGTGGAATTTAAAGGTAAAAAATCCATGATATTTGGAAAATGTTTAACCCCCAAATACTTTGTTTTAGATCACATCCGACCCATTTGTCTTCCTCTAACCGACGAACTCCTGGCGTTCACCTCGGTTATGGGGCAATCCTACATTGCGGTTGGCTGGGGAAAAACGGAGGATCGGCGTTTTGCCAACAGTACAATGGAGGTCCATATAAGTACTGAGAGATGCTCAGGCGGCCGGGACAGTTCGTTCTTGTGCGCCAGCGGAGACATTGTGGACACCTGTACCGGGGACTCAGGTGGTCCTCTCACCTGGAGGAATCTTTATTTTGGCAAGGTTCGAACGGTACAATTTGGAGTGGTCAGCCTAGGGAGTGCAGACTGTGGAATTGGTCAGAAGGCCTATTACATGGACGTTCCTACTTTTATGCCTTGGATAATCCGAAAGCTTGCAGAATTTTCCAACTTGGTTTAGGTGGCGGTTGAAGTATGAAATATCAATACTCTGACTCAAATTCTATGTAATATATATTTCTGATTTATAGAAATAAAAATGTGCAATAGAGATTGTTGAAGATTAATGTTATTTTGTATTTTATTTCGATGTGTTCTGTGGGCGAATGTCTTAGTTATCGGTCTTTTTAATTACACTACACTCTCAGTTTTTGAAATCTAGTAGCTCCTGTTCGTTGTGTCTTTAAGATCGAAGAATTTAAATCCCGAACTCTCTAAAGCCGAACAAGAAAACTGAGACCCGTTCACATTTTAAAACAATTGTTTTGATAGAATTTTATAACCAAAGCTACGTAAGAATCAAAATGTCGCACCAAATTGGAGTCATGTGCTTGGGTCACACGGACTCAGTGGTGGAGTTATCCTTCAGCAAGGACTTTGGCTCGGGCTTTTACCTGGCCTGCGCAGGACTCGACGGAATGGTGTCGCTGCGACATGGTGACACTGGCAACTGGATTGCGAATCTAAAGAAGCACAAGGAGAGCGTGTGGACCGTGTGCTTCAGCGAGGATGCCAGGATCCTGGCCAGTGGCGGAGGTGATAAAAAAGTCCGCATCTGGGATGCCTTGCTGGGGAAGCAGCTGTCGAGGTATCCGCATCGGGAAACAGTATCCTGTTTGGACCTGAATCCCACGGCCAGTCGAATGGTAAGCGGTTGCCTCGGCCAGAATCCATGCGTTACCCTCTTCGACCTGGAAAAGTCGAGCAAGAAGCCCTTGATGGAATTCCGGGGTCACAAGCGTGGTGTGCGGGATGTCATCTTCTGCTTGGAGGAGCGCTGCATCCTCACCTCCTCCTACGATCGCTCGGTGAAGATGTGGGATTGCCTGACCGGGGCACACACCCACTCCATAGAGCTACCGCACCACGCCAAGTCCATGGAGCTGCACTACGATCGGGAGATAGTCACCATATCCTTTTCCCACGGCGTGTTCTTCCTGGATCCCCAGAAGTTCGAGATCCTAAAGCACCGAAAGTTACCCTACAAAGTGACGGCGGCCGCGTTGCATCCCAACAAGGAGAGCTACGCGTGTGGCAACAGTGAGGGCAACGTCTACAAGTACGACTACGCCACTGGGAATACCTTGGGGGTCTACCATCCCGACGATAAGTCGCCCGTTTGTTTCCTGCGGTTCAGTCCTGACGGCGAAATATGTGCCATGGGCCTGGAAAATGGAAATATCACTCTCTGGCGACAGAACATGGACAAGAAGTACGGGCTGTGGACTAGTATTAGCTCCTGGGAAGACGACGATGATGATGACGGAGATGTGAACGAATCCGTCAGTTAAATCAGTTGGACCCCCTACACAACTGTACCCTGCTTTGATTCGAGTTCCCGAGTTGGTTAATTTTGTTTTTGTTCGTTCAGCATCATCATTCCCCACAATCGAAGTCAGGCAAGGGTCACGTTTCTTTCCCTCTAATAAATTTGTCTTGTGATTGAAAACCCCCAAATGCCCGAGCGATCTACCTGGCTTTTATGGCTATCGGAATCTCTTTTTCCAACCTGTTTTGTGGATGATTTTCGAAAGGATTTCGGTTATTTTTCAACGTTGAACGATCGCCGACGTTGATTGCCTCGCTGCTTTATGGCGTTTCTCACCCGATGCAGTCATAAATGCGTTTTTTATTATTATTTGAGTTCGGTCAGGGAGTTGGGAAGTCGGGGGGCATGGATAATACATGGAATATGTATCCAAAGTGACTGAGGTTTTCCTCCTTTTTTTGGGGTAGTTTGGCGGCAGATAGCATATACAAATACCGAGGGCCAGGAGATACATCTCTGACTGATCTGCTTTGCTGACCTAAGATACCTTAGGACTTGACAACTTCTTGACTCGATGCCTCTGTTTGTTTATCTTTCTTTGGGTTCGCTCTCCTCAAATGGTTTTTCATAAATATTTATAATTTCTTGGCTGATAAAACGAGTTCCTCGCTTCGTGCTGGGCCAACGTATTTTCCAAAACACGTTTTCCACGCGTTTACCAGGAAAAGGAAACCTTTTCCCACAACCTCCTTGGGTGTTTGTCCAACTAGAGACGAGACTGTTCCAATAAAATGAGTTGTCATGCTAGGTTTCTCCGTGGTCAGCACAAGTGCCTTTCCTTTGATTGATGATTTGAGTGGAAAGTAGCACAGTAGCCGCAGGATCAGGAAAGGATTAGCCTCTACGGTAGCCAGTCCAAATATTTGCATACTGGCCCTACTATTTGCATTCCACTTTGGGGAAAATCCATCAATAACTCTCGATCTGACCGCAATTTGTCCGAGCAAAAGATTCAAGATAGGTAAAAGTCATTTATATATGTCCTGTGCAGAGATTTTGTAATATTAATGATTGGTCATTTGCCAGGGAGAAATGCTTTGTAACACTTGGTGTAAATCGGCTAGCCTGTTTGTGTGTTTTGATAGGGATCACTGCGATTAAGGCTGAGATATATAAATGGTTTTCCTGCTCAAAGGAGTGTCTAAAGGTCAGAAAAGAGTGGAGATATTAATATAATTAATGCCTAAATCAAAAGATCATTCGTATTCCAAAAGGGTTTTTGTTATTAAAAAACCATTAAAAGAAAATACCGTTGAAGATTTGTATCCTGACCTAAAATTTTCTCATTCTGGATCTCTTTTTTTATTATTCATTAGGGTAATTTTTAAATTCTGAAATTATTTCACATGTCACAGATAGAATCGGACTTTTCTTCAATATTTTTTTTGCAATCCAAAGGCTATATTACTTGTTGGTAACTTTACCTCCCCTTTATTAGTTAATTTTTTAAAATGAAACACTCCCACAACAAGTTGGGCTGAACCCTTGAAGTATCCTTAGTCGTAGCACACCTGCCTAGCAAAATTTCCAAAATTGCGGTCACAGTTCCGTGAGCTGAACAGTTTTTATGGTAATTTCCTTACGGAACCGAGAATATTTGAAAAGTATCTTACGGCAATTTCGAGCGTTACTTAGCCGGCTGGTCATGCTCGCTGAACATTTGCACCCCCACCGGAACACGTGGCACATCGGGCCAGGTTCTTGGCTCTATATGGTCCTATATGAAGTGGGATATCTTGAGCCTCCTCCTGGGGTGAAATGGGCTGGCTTGATTGTGTGCTGTGTGTTGAGGCGATAAGACGCGTTGCATTCGAAATGAGTGTAACGTATATTTTATACAAGACCGTGCAGGACTGGACTTCGTTGAGGTTTTATTAGATACGAGATAATGTTTTACAGACCGCGACCTTTGGCTAGGAAACGCTGATAATGTTTGCCCAGGTCTTATCGGGGAATAGTTAAGTGCATATTAGGGAATAACCGATTAGATCGCAGTTCGATCCAACCAGCATTAAAGACTCCAATCATCCGAATACCTTGAGTATCGTCTAGTGCCCGCACGTTCCACGGCAATCCTTTAGGATCTGCCCTTATAAACGAGGACACTTGAGAACCGCTTTTCCACCTCTTTTCTCCGCCTTTTTCCGCGTGTGTTGACACAACCCATATAAACCTTGTAGTTGCCAGGGTATCCTGCTCGGGAGGAAATTACTTAAAGGGATCACGAACTCTTCCCCCTTTTCGAAAAACTCCTTCTTGAGTTGTTTATGTTTTCAGGCATGACTGCAACCGAACGCCAGTAGAATTCTCAAATTTGTTAAAAAGTGTGTAAATTCACGTTGCTTTTCTTTTTGAGGGGAGGGTGTGTCCCATAAACAGAGACCGAACCACAAGGGATCGGATCGTATGGGAGTGTTGAGGGAAGAATTATGGATGATGCTGCCTAATCGAACGGTCGTCAAACGATCTCTGCCTTTTTTGGGGTGATTGCACTCAGTTTTTTCTATTTTTTTCTCGTGTTTTTGTGTGGAAAGCCAAGAGGTTTTTCTTTTATTTCGTCGAGTGCAAAGGACAAAGCAAATGATGTCTTTAGTCTTCGAATCTGACTTTCAGGGTTTTGTTCCTTTTCTCTCCTTTTTAATTTAATTGGATTTGTGCAAACAATATAAATCTCGTTTTATTGCTTTTGGTAGTGTAATTTAAATTTTTTACGATTTTGCACATGAAAAGAAGTTTCGGAAAATGCAGCATGAAAATGAGCAGAAAACTTTGGTTGTAAAAAATGAGCCATAACGGAAATTTGAAAAACCCATTGCTGTAACAATGAGGAAACGGGGAAATTCGAAATAGACATGGGCTGTATTTACTGGACCAGTGCCCCACATTGCAAGCGCGATTTTCCCCATGGCAACACGAGGAAAGTGAAAAGAATCGGTGCCCCAAATCGCCCCCCGCCACGCCCCTTCGACAGCTAAAAATCCAGTTTGAGGCCAAACAAACCGAAGCCAAAACATTTTTTTACTTTCGTATCTTCCCATCGCAATCGCAACCAAAAGTACAGCTCCACCGATGCAACAACAAACAAAAAGGCAGCGAGCACGCGGATGGAAAAGGAGAGAGATGGGTAGATAGTGTGAGAGAGAGAAGAGGAGATAGGGAGTGAAAGAGAGGGCAAGTTAGGCCGACTTTTTTGATACGCTCTATTAGGGGAACTTTGTTTTAGCTTATGTGGTTCTTGGAGTATTCCAAAACGTATTTCAATATTCGGTCGCCTTTAGGTGGAAGTTATATTTTGAAATTTTTATCTTTGGTTTGAAAAAAATCTAAAATTTTATGGGAACGCTTTTTTAAAATTTATGAAACTACATTTGAAAAAGTTTAATTTATTTACTATACCTACTCATAAATTATAATTGGTTAAAAAATCTTTTTATATTTTATTAGTATGAGTGGTTCTTATTTTCAGTTTTTTTTTTAATCCCTAACACTGAAATTTTTAAGAAGTGCATTGCCCCTTCGACATGCTCAACTCCAAGGAAAAGCGCATTCAAACCCAACCGCTGTGTTCTCTTTCTCCCCGTCCCTGTCGCTCCCGTTGGGTCTCCGATCGTTTTGAATTCGAGGGTTGCTGCACAGAGAGCGCGGTTCGCTCTGCATTTCGAGCTGGCAACGCCTCTGGTGGTTGTTTGACGTTTGCTTTTGCTCTGTGTTTTATTTATCATTTATTCGTTTCTCCGAGTTCGTCAAGAGAGGTTCGCCCGATCGGTAGCGCTATATCCCAAAGTCCCAGTGCGCAGTGCGCTGAATACCCGAAAAAGTCAACAAACCTCGCTGTTACAACGACTGCAAGTTGTATAAATAAACATAACCCATTGTGCTGCCACAGGGCATTCATCCAATACGAAACTGAAAAGAGAGACACAAGCGCTGCGACTTGTGAGTGATATTGCAGTGCAGTGTGCCTAAACCACCAACTGAAAACCGTAACCGAGTGCTATTAGACCAAGGCCTTTGTTTATAATTAACTTATAAACAATTGCAGTGTGAAATTTCACTTTAGAAGGCAGCAAAACGCAAAAAAGAAGCTGCCACACAGCGCACACTCGCTCCAGCTCTCCCACACACACGCAGGCGAGCGTGTGGAGACCGTGATTTGTATTCGTGTGGAGACTGCTCTCTCTCGCTCTTTTGGGGCTGCCCGAAAACAAAGTTTTGGCGCCAAAAGTTTGACAGTTCGCTTTGGCGTGCGATTCGCAAACAAGTGGCGAGAAATCTGCGTCCCAAAACAGAGCAGAAAAACATTAAAAACAGATACTAGACTACTAAATCAAGATGGTCAGTGCCCGAGTCCTGAACCCCGTGATGCTGAGCGAGTTCTGCAAGATGAGCAGCAGTCCGGCGGTTAGTCGCAACTTGCCCTGCGGTCGCCAGTTGAATCGCATCAAGCGTGACCTCTTCGGCAGCTCCAAATCCGCCGAGGGTTCCACCAACAAAACGTGAGTCTCCGAATTAGCAATTGCAATTTACCCCGGAAGCTAACAAAACACTCTTTACAGACCCTTCAATGCCGAACTGGAGCGCCACCAGGAAATGGCCACGCAAAAGTGGGGCTTCGACTTCCGCGCCGGCTGCCCACTGGCCGAGAAATCCTCCTTCATCTGGGAACGCGTCAGCTTCCAGGAGTCCAGCTTCGCCCCGGAGATGTACACCCTCACCCGGGCCGCCCACGTTCGTCCATCCGCCGACAGCAGTCCCAGCGACATGGACGTCCTGGTCAACGAGCGCTCCGAGCGCGAGAACTTTGGCTCCAACCTGGTCAACTCCTCGCTAGGAGTCCAACACGGATAATGACTCCTGCTACGACTCCCAGGACGAGTCGCTGACGACGCGATTCAGCTCCTCCAACTTGGCCAGCACCTCCTCGATCGTCCTGCGCAAGCGACAGCCAAAAATCACAGGTGAGTTTCGCCCGGGGGTTGGTAATATATGTATGCCATTGCAACTTGATCAGCGGAGCTTGACGGTTCCCAGGGTCAAGCTTCAATGCACTTTGATAGTCGTTACAATTTTGTTTATTTTCGGTTCTCAAGATTCAATTGAGGAAGTTTTTTGAGGAACTTTATCGAGAATTAGGGGCTTGTTTGTAAACTGACTGTTATAAAATTGGTTCGGGATTTGGAAGGTTCCAAAGAATTTTTTTCGATCATTGTGCTGCGGAAAATCTTTTATTATTTTTTTTTTGTTATAGTGTAGTATTTATTTACAGGGACTGTCTCTTAAATATAACAGTGCAGTTATAGTAAGGATCTGTTAGTGCATGATTTTAAACCGAACCAGAATTAAATAAAGTGGAATAGTCAACCGTAACCGCTGTTCAATAACGTTCACGTTACCAAAACTCTAAAGGGGGTTGTTCTATGGGTTTCCCTTACTGTTCAAGTCCACTCCCTCCGCCTTTTTTTCTTTATTTTCAATTCCCAGGAACCATGAACATTTAGTAGTGGGCGTTTCTTGTGGAACTTAAACCCAAATTATAGCAATTAGCCAGTGCTTTGTGGGAGATTTATTTTCGTCTAAAAGGGTTAGTCGAAGCTGACTGCAGCTGTTTCAGCTCTTCACCTCTTTACCTCCCAAAACCAAACGATTCTGATGTGATCCTCGGCTGCGCGGGGGATGGTTTCCAGATCGATCGCATGCGGGCTGGCTTGCTGCATCTATAAATGCCAACAGCTGTGACTCCGCTTTGTCTATGGCCTGACCTCATTATTGAAAACGAGAGAGAGGGGTCTGGGGATCGGCTTTCAATGCACCACCATCCAGAGTCCGTGGCTTTATCAAGCCTCCCTTTGATTGCTTTGTACTACGCTGAGTTTTTTTTTATGTATATGCCACTCACACATGCATGTGTAATTACAATCATAAAAAGTGTCTGTTCGGGGCATTATAAATGCACCCGCATCGGTTGGCCAGTTGGGAAGCCCTTGAATCCCTTAAAGCCCCGAGGAGGAACTTTTTTCTACTTTGGCCACTAAGCTAGAATGTGTAATTTATGCAGCTATGCAGCACCACCACTCTTGCTTTCACTGGACTACCTGAAAAACCGGCTGAGGACCGACTGTCTGGCTGCCGTCTGGCATTTATTTGCTACCCCTGTGTAGATCTGCAACCCTCTGTTTGAGAACTGCTGCCGGCCACGTGCCACAATCTGGGAATCTACCCGAAACCGAAATCAAAATGTGCAAAAACAGGCGGCGCCTGCTGTTTAGGGATCAATGACTTGTGGATAGGGACAGCCGGAAGTGCAGCAGCTGACTTTGATTTGGCAATAACATGTAACACGTAATTATAACTAACGTTCTCTCTCTTTTTTGTTTGCAGAATTCATGAAGGAGCGCAAGCGTTTGGCTCAGGCCCCCAAGAAACTATCGCCCGCAAAGCGCCTGCGCACCAGTTCTCCCAGCTCATCCGCCAGCTCGAGCTCCAGCGGAGGATTCGGATTGGGGACGCACTTCGGGGCGATGCTGAAGCGCCCGCGCCACAACTAACGCTCCGGATTCGCTGGCCAACCCACCGAATTGCAATTTGTAATTTTACATATGATTTTTTTATAAGCCACTGCGATTGTGTAGTATTTCATAATTTTTTATTACGAACCTTTTTATGCAGTGCAAGGGCGACAGTTGCGAATATTAATCGTTAGTCTTCAACTACTCGTAACCAGTAATTAGTTGTAAGCCAACCAGTAAGCTCGAGCTACATGAAACTTTTTAGATTTCTCTAGTGAGAAATGCCATAAACTAAGTGATTAGTTCTTAACAACAACCAACTATTGAACTAGAAGAGAGAGAGACCACAAGCTAAATGGAATTAGTCTTAACTATCTTGAAGCCAACCGAAATTTAACCTTTATAACGATGGAATACTAACTTTATATAACTTTGTAAAATCCCTTCAAAACTCTTTGGCAACTTTTGCATTTGAAATTTGCCAGGAAAACAAAACTTAACCCTGTTCTGGCCTGCCAGCTTGTCCAAAAACTGTAACTCGGGCCAGAACAGAATTGAATTTTGTTTTGCACTTTTGGGTCGCTAAAACGGAGCCCCAATAAGCCGGTTTTCGGCTCATTGCCGCCTTGTTTTTTCGACCTACTAACCTTGTCCCCAATTCGACCAGTGAAAAACAAACAAAAAAAAGAGGAATGCCTTTGAAATATTTTCGTCAATTTCTGCACGTTTGGATGCCTTGTTTATACGATTGCCGCCGAATGCACACAAATTGTCGCGCTCTCATTTCTTAACTAGTGGTAAAAATGTCTTTTATGATTTGCTATGATCTCTGCGCAAGTTATGAAAACAATTTTGCCAAAAACTATCATGTACAAAAACCTAGATTACTATAATATACACATAGGCAGAGCCTATTCTTCATAACACTTATACAAAGCATATATTTGTAAGCCTAACTAAGAACAAAATCCAAAGTATTCTCCTAATATTTATATGTATAGATACTCTATGTATAATAAATCATACGCAACTCATACTTCAATAAAACAAAACACAAAACAACGCCGAATGTTCTATTTAAAAACTACAAAAAATACACAAAAACACCAGCATAAAATCATTTAGATGTTTGTTTGTTATGCATTGACTCCTATTCCAATCCATTGCTTTGGTTGTAACCGTAGCTGTAAACTGTAGCTTATTAACATAATTTTGTACATTTTATATGTTAATATTTCATTTATTTGTTGGTGAATGTGTTCTTTTTGGGTTATTGGAAATTTTGAGAACGATAACAAGAAAAATATGTTCAATTTATTTAATAATAATTGATTTGCCACAAGCAAAATATTAATTTGTTTGATTCGACGTTTTGTAGTTTTACCTAGGTTCCATTTAGCTGATCTGTTCTCTACATACAAATATATCTATCGGATATATACAGTGGACTAGGGAGCTGGTCACCTACTTCCCCGCCGCCTTCTCCTCCAATTGGGCCTGAATGTGCCGGACGTTGTGGCCACCGCCATTGGGGTTGTGCCGCTGGAAGAAGGCATTGATGGAGCTCATGGAGCGGTACTCCAGGTTGTCGCTGACATGCCAATCGACACTGATGCTCTGGTGACGACCCACCGGATTGCGGATGCGGGTCTCGTTGTACTTCTCCAGCAGATGGAGCAGACAGTCCTTGGTGGTGTTGGCCGCCTCCTCCAGATTGACGGTCTGATGGGTGTCTGGCAGCCCAACGGGCACATCGCGACTCATTTGGTTTATCCGGAACTTGGCTCGGCGACTGCTGGCTGATTCGCTGCTGGCGCTGGTGGAGATTGGGTTGCTGGCGCTGGAGAAGACTTGGTTGCTGGTGCTGGATACCACCTTCGAGGAGGTGGTGCTGGTCCTTTGTACATGTTGGCTGATAAAGCTCTTGGCATTGGAACTGCTCATGGTCTGAACCGTGGCCTTGCGCTGGGATTGCATTAAGGATTGGGACGATGAGCTGTTGCCATTGCTTAATTTTGGTGTTTCCTCGATGGACTGCTGTAATCTCACGGAGAGGGAACTGACCTTAGTCTTGCCCTGGCCATCATCGTAGCTGCTTTGGCTCTGGGAAGAGCTGCTGGCCTGGCTAAGGAGTCCTCCTCTCGATGTGGGGCGATTCCAGCTGCTGCTGGAAGTGGTTTTGCTGGTCCACCTATTGCCTTCTTGGCTGATCTCGGAGGTTTTACTAGAAGTGCTGCCAGAGGGGGCAGCTGGAGGAGCGACAGGAGGAGCCACAGGAGCAGGAGGATTGGGAGCTGCTCCACTACCATTGTTGTTGGCATCGCCCAGCTTGGTGTTGATCTCGGCCAGCATAAGCAGGTGATCGGAGAGCTTTCGGATCTCATCCGCCAGGTTCACACGCTCGCCGGAACTCCGACGGCCCAGGAGGTAGGTGGTGTCCGAGTTCCTTCGATCGAAGGTGTGCAGGTAGCTCTTCATACTCCGCTGCTGCTGGGCGGTGGATTGGCTGCCGGAGAACTCGTCAAAGTTCTCATTGAACAGGTGCTGCGGCGTGGGAGTGGCCGGACTGGAGGTGGCCACCGCCGGGAACAGTTTCTCCCGGGATTCGTTGATGGGCGTGGCCACCGAGTGCGGACTCTCGATGTCCGCACTGCGGGCCTCGTCCTCTTCCGGTAGATCCTCATCCTCACCTCGTTCGTCATCCGTCATTGTGGCAATCGATTCGCAGGGCGACGGCGAACAAACTGGAAATGGATCAGAGTCTTAGAAAGATTTTCCGGAAGATCTATTAGGTTTACATAGAGATTGTGGGGTTATTGCCGAAAGTAGGTTTCAGACGGGTTAGTGTACATGAAATGGTAATTTACACACAGAAAGATCATGCTTATGAGTTAAGAGAGTTGTGTATAATGGCTCTTAGGATGAATATAGTTAATCAGTGATATTCTACAGAAAACAAGCTTATTGTTAATCAAAGGCATCAGTTGCCTAGAAACAGCTTTTAAATATGTAAAATTTTTTAAGAATATACAATTCTTCTTTGTATAATGCGAAAGTTGTATAATAACCATTTTTTACAAAAGTTTTTTGATTATTTTCTGCAATTATGTAAGAAAAATAGGTACTTTATTATGTTAACTAATCTTATAAAAAATTAAAAAATTCATTTAATGTTTACTAATCTTCATAAAACATTTGAAACTTCCTAATTCACTTAAGTGTTTATAACATCCCTTTCGGAGTTAATAAGATATAGCGATCCTCCCCGTCGGACAAATCACAAATGAACATGAGACTGACTTTGGAATTTGACTGCGTTCTCTGAAGATGATTGGTATTCTGAGCTGGATGTTGGGCTTACCTGGCTGGCAGACCAGAAACAGTGGCTATACGAGTACATATGTGTGTCGATCTAAACTTGAACTGGGGATGGGGGTAATTCTGTGGGATTGGGGCTTGGAAATGGGATTGGAGAGGGTAGAGCGGAATGGTTTCGGTTTCTCGGCTCGAAGAAGCTACAGATAAGTATCATTTTGCTGGTGTTTCAATTATATTTTGGATATATTTTTCCAGTAGTTCTTTTTTTCTTTTTTTGTCAATGGCTGTCATTATCACAGTGTCAAAGTGGTTAATAGAGCTGGTCATCCGCTACAAGGATGCCAGGCACATTGCTTAATGCTAGGGTTACTTAAACATAAACAACAGTTCTGGCTGGCAAGCTGGAGCCCCTCGTCCGGAAATGTAGTATTGATTTTACCAAAAGAGATGGGGTTAACACAGAGACAGAGAAAGAAAACAAGGTGCAGACAGAGGGGAAGCTAGCCAGCTTGGTCCACATTCAAGTTACGAACAACAATTAGTTTGACAAGTTAATCGTGTAATATACAAAGTCGATCCGGTCGCAGGATGCAGTTGAGATGCGATGCGGATGCCTCATTTGCCGTGGATGAGGGCGTGTCGGTCGCGCTGTCGCTGGGATCCGTACTCACCTCTAGAGGAGGAGAGGCTGTCCTGGCCGTGGGTCCTCCGGGGATGCGGGTAGCTCGTCTCGCTCAGCGGCGCAATCACATTGCCCTCCACGTCGAACACGTACGGACTGTTCGGGTGCGTCTCCCATCGCACGATGAAGTTCTTCAGGTTGTCCTTCGTGGCATCCAGCTCTTTGTTCTGCAAAAGGACAGGCTGTCTTAACTTCGCGAATGATATATCTATAAAAGGTCTAAGTAACCAGGATAAGCAGAAAATGTCAAATAATTGGGAATTGTGGAATTTATAATATCTAACTTTTAATATAAATATTTAGATAAATATAAATATTTGGATCTATCGTTATACATACATTGGACTGTGTCGACTATGGACCAAAAAAGTGATAGATTGGAGATATTGCTAACTATTGCAAAAAGAATAATATTTATTTATTTATTTATTTAAAGTTAGCAACCTTATATCTAGCCAACACTAAACATTAATACCCTACTCACATCAAGTGGAAGGGGGCAGGGACAGGTTATGTTAGGATGTTTGTTACAATTAAATTAACAGAGCATTCCGAGAATATCAAAAAATACAGTTCATTATATTGCGAACATAAAACGCGAAATGGATCATGTAACTCAAAGTTAGTTTTACAAATATCGAGGGCAATTGGTCGAAAGTGCCGAGTAGACCTTACAGGAATGGAGAAACGAATTTGACCAAGAAGGTAGCTTGAATTTACAAGTCCAGTAATTAATTTGTGCAGGAACATAACACCATGGCAGGTTCGACGATCCTTGAGGGAGGGCAGGTTAAGTAGACGCAGTCTATCCACGTACGATGGCAGGTGTCGATGTGTTTCCCAGTTTAAACCACGTAGAGCAAACAAAAGGAACTGTTTCTGTACCGACTCAATAAGGTCCTGATAAATGGTATATTGGGGTGACCAAACACACGAGCAGTATTCAAGAATTGGACGAACCAAGGAAATGTATAAATGTTTTGTGGTGTAGGGGTCCTCAAATTCCTTCGACCAACGCTTAACAAAGGCAAAAACGCCTTTTGCTTTACTAACTATGATACCAATGTGATTAGAGAAATTTAAGTTGTGGTTGAATAACACTCCAAGGTCTGTAACGGAATTTATGCGTTCAAGTTCATTCGACCCAATAGAATATGTAGTTAGGAGAAGCTTCTTCCGATAAAAGGACATAAAGTTACATTTAGAATTGTTCAAAAACAACAAATTTTGGATGCACCATGAATTCAGATTGTTCAGATCAGCTTGCAAAAGTGCCTGGGAATCGGGATTCGATAACGGCAAACAGAGTTTTACGTCATCAGCATACATCATAACATGAGCAGAGAGAACAACTTGGGGCAAGTCATTTATGAAAATTCCAAACAGTAAGGGTCCAAGGTGGCTCCCTTGCGGAACACCGGAGGTCACGTGAACAAGGTTTGAGACTGTGCTTTTAAAAGCAATTCTTTGAGTTCGGTTCGTCAGGTAGGCTGAGATCCACTTAGTCAACGTGATCGGGAATCCTAATAGTGTTAATTTTTTCAATAATAACTGATGGTTCATTCGGATTTCTTTTACCACACTCAGAAAAAAAATCGCCCTAAATTTTAGAAAATCGCCATACTTTGAAAATCGCCTTGAAATTCAGAATATATTTCTATTTTTCAGAAAT